AACAAATCAACCCAGAATTCTCACTCAAGGCACAAATGACCAGGCTCAAATTATGCTATTTTGGACAGATTACACAAAGACCTAGCTCTCTTGAGAAGGCTCTAATACTGAGAAAGGTAGAAGGAGAGAGAAGAAGAGGATGACCAGCAACAAGGCTGATGTTATGGTAGCAATGAGTGCACTGTTGGAAGACCTGAAGAGATTAGGGAGAGATCATCATGGAGAAAATCTATCTATGTGGTCTCTAAGAGTTAACAACAACATGATGGTACATAATTCATCAATCAATCTTTAGACACAAGGAATTTGCTTAATTTAGGATATCCATATTCCATTAACTAATTCATAATACTTGCTTGGTATCTAGGGAATTGCCTGCCTAATATGCTCCAAAACCCATAGATGCACTGAAGTAAATGATATCAAAGTAGTAATAGCCAAGTCAATGTCAAAGGGATGTCTATATTCATGAAGAATGGTGTAAGAGTCAGGCTACTAGAAACTGAAATAGTTTGGTGATCTCCCCATCTGGAAACCAAATTCAACAGTCAGTACAGAAATAGAGCAGAGTTGCTCATGAGGGCTGAAAACACTGCCCACAGCATCTACTTCCATGAGGGCCTGCTCTCACAATGCCCCTTGTACCTGGGATGAACATCTTTAGTATGTGCTGATAAAAGGTTGATAATGAGAACACACATCTATTATTAGTTCCTCTCCAAGACAGAGGTGGCAATGGCTATGCCAGTCAAGGATGGTAATTTGTTTCCTAATTGTTTTTGAGAAACTGCTTCCTGCACCACAGGTGTCCACTGAAGCAAGTGAAGCTATCCTTTGGTCTACCTACTATTAACTGAAATTAAATAAAATTCCCTGAAATTAAATAAACATTGATTAAGGGTGATTCCACAGACATGTCCAAGAATATTCTTGGCAAAATGCAGAAGGAACAAGAAAAAAGAAAAGAGGGAAATGAAGGAATAATTCAGTTTCTCAGAGGAAAATAAATAAAAGCAGAAGTTCCTCCTGAAGCTACTGCAGCAACGGTCATAATGAAACTGAATACAAAGGTGAGAACCTCTTTGACATATAACAAGTTCTGAATGTGCCTCTGTGGATTTGCACAGAGATGACAAAGAAGATCAAGTTTGTTCATTTGAGGCCAAAATATCTGACCTGTAAAAGTGATGGAGGCAGAAATATTAGAGACTTCATGGATATGGTACAATTAGCTTTCTTGTGGAAAGAAAACCATATTCAGAGAAATACAAAGCACTTCACAGAAAGAACCTGTTCCTTCAATAGTCAGGCAACTCACTTTTGCACAGAAATATCTCTAGGAATTGATATTGTGATTGCTCCTAATATCAGTAAGTATAAACATTAGCTGTGTTGTGACCAGCCTGCTGTTGCAGACAACACTGATTTAAACTGGAAATGAGAAATTGGGGGGAAAAAGAGATTAGGGCTATATCAGACATCTCAGTGAAAATATGTGTCACCCTGAGAAAAAGGAAATATCAAAGATTAAAGCAAACATTAGAAATGACATCATCTGGATTATAACACTCTTTTTTTCTTGAAGAAAGACATAATCATATGACTGGAAAGTCCAGTGGTACACAGTTGTGATGAATGAATTAATATGGGCTTTCTTGTTCAGAAGAAAAAAAATATGGGTATTAGAGTTGTGTATGATACAGAAAAAAACTATTTTGTTTACAATCTGGAACAAATCAGTGCATTCTAGAAGTTCTGCTGAACAGTTTTGGGTCAGCCATGGTTCATCAGAAACAAAATTCTGAGTGTCATTTGTTTTTATTTATTTAATTTTTGTTTACTTACTTTATTAATATACCACTATACTCCATATGGAATCACAGTGGTACACTATTAAAAAATGATCATAACTTAAAAACAGAATACAGAAATAATAATCCTTAACATCTTCAAAACCTTTCATAAATTATTATAACCAGAAATAATAGTGATAAGAGGTGTACCAATGACAGATCTTAAATAAATGCTCTTCTGAATAGTTAAGCTTTATGACTTTTCTAAAGGTCAGAATTGATGGAGCTGTCTGAATTTCTGGTGGATTCTTTGGGGCTTCAAATGAAACAAAATCCAGTGGGATGAATAGGACAAAGCAGATGCGCATTGCCCCCTCCCTCCCCTCAGCAGCTGCAAGAGTGGCATATATCACTGGTCTACCTGCCCAGAAACTTTCAAGTGCCTTGCTTCCCTCCCTCCTTTTCCTTAGTTGCCAGCTACAGATATTCCAGTGTGGCATATCCCAATGGCCTGTCAGACCCCAATCTTTCCAACCCCTTCTCTGTTCTGCCAACAATATCCCAACTTGGCATATCCCACTAGCTCACCTGCCTCTCCCATATTCCCAGCAGTTTTCGTTCCCTTCCTCCTGCAAATGTACATAAGAATGCCTTAACAATTCCTTTCAGGCAACAAGAAAACTCAACAGGATTGATCAACATCCCACATAAGCTGAAAGCATATTCTAAAACACTAATCCATAGCTTGATGCCTTCAAGGTATGTTGGACTACAGGTTCCCTGATCCCCAACCAGCATGCCCATACTTAGAAACTGATGTTTAATACCTAGAGGTTGGGAAATACCGTTGTAGAAGAGCTCCCTACACTTTTCTGCAATGCATAGGATTCTAGTCAGTCAACAAAATAATGGAAGTCATGCACTAAATTACTGATAATCAATAAATCATTTCTGTTGTCACCCTAGGAAGGGAAAAAGAAATCAGAAAGCTCCCACAGTTTGTGACTGTATACATAAAACTAAACTGGAAAGAAAAAAAAAATCTTTCTGATAATCCTGTATTTTTAAAGTTAAGGTCTCATCTACCTTCCTTTCAACACAAAGGAGTTATGAGTAAAAGGAGAGCGCATTTGGAGAGTAAATGGCCAACACTCAAGACATGCAGGAGGCAGGGCAGGGCA